TCCAGAATCCCTTTGAGGGAAAATCCTACAAGGGCATCTTCTCCAGAGTTCTGCCAATCAATACCTTTCTTTAAAAAAGAATTAACAAAATGGGTGGCAAATTGGCTATTGGCCACCAGGGCCTTCAAGTGTGGACTCCCCAATCACCTGTGGTCCTTTTCACAGTATCCCCTGAGGCAACTGGCCCAGCAAGTTTTCACTTTGGGTGCTGGGAATATTTTAGCAGACAACACAAATATTTTGCTCTGCTTTCCCTCTTGTCTCTGAAAAGTGCCGGGAACCCCAAACCCTGCAGATAGTGAGTGCTGCCCTACTAATGGTCAACAATCAAGAGAGTTACTTTATGACTAGAGGCCTCAAGGCTTCATCACAGTGACTGTACACACTACATTGTGCAGAATGCAGAATCCATGAACCTCCAAGAAAAACGTCAGCAGAAGGAGACCAGGAGAAACCAGATCCTCTATGATCCTGTCTTTGGGCCTTTGGAGATCTCAGCACACCATAAGGAAGTTGGAACATATAAACTGAAAAACAGTTTCAAGGAATGTATGCTCCAATGGGAAAACAAAACTAACCTGTATGCTCTTTTGAAATATGGCAGGACCACAGTGATAATTACAAAAGTGCATCAAGAGGAAGAGGTGAGGAAGGAATTAACAGGCTAGACTGGAGAAGAGGTGACGTTAATTAAGCAAGACTCGATGGAAAAGGTGACTACAAACCATTATGTCGAGAAGCCTAAGGAAGAGAAGAGCCGAGGCAAGCAGAAGAAAGGACCCCATCCCTTAGGCACTGAGCACCCTGGGACATAGCCTCTCAGTGCCAGATTCCAAGAGTCAGAAGAATAGGAAAGACATCTTTGTGCCTGGAACAGTTAAAACACTAACCAAGCAGCTAAGAAGAAAGCAGGGAGAATTTTAGAAGAGGAGATAGGGACACAAAGAGCAACAGCAGCCACTCAGGGCTTTAGGCAAACACAGGTAGTTCATTGCATAGAAATCCTGAGAAACAAGTTTTTGTGCATAGCACATTTTACCGGCCCTTGAAGGGTTCCTTTCAAATGTAGTGAGAGATAAGATTCAGATAGCACCTACAGATCACTGCAAAGGATCTAGCTAGCATTGACCCAAGCCGGTATTGGGGAGAATCCCTTGGGATGGTCTTTAATACAGACTCTCAGCCCAGTGACTGCGAAGTCCCTGATAGTTTTTTGCTGAGTGGACACTAGACCAGGCTGAAAAAGCACTATTTCTGTCGAAGACAGAATTTCATAACTTTCCAGTCCTGTTTAATCTATGCCCAGTTCAGGGGCATGGGAGGCAAGGCAGGGTGAAGTTCAAAGGTTGTGAGATGGGCAGGTGAACGCTAAGAACTTTGTGGAGGGCAGGGAAGGCTCACAATTGTCCTCAGAGCCCTGTCTTAAAGACAGTTCTAGAACTGACCAGACTCAGAGAAACTTAAAACCAGCCTAGGTAAGACTGGTTCAGATTAGATCTGTTCAGAGTAGTTTGAGGGCTCGTAGCTTACAGCATGAGACCCATCTGACTACTGTTTGAGTCAAACTGGGGTTGATGTTTCTTAGCATACCTCTGTAGTCTATGTATTAGCAAACCAGTGAGCACAGTGATCCATAACACATATGAAGACATGCAGAGTGTAGGACCTGCTCCAGGAATCTTTTGCTAACAGTAAAAGTGTGGTAGAAGTAAGGTGGGAGCCTCCCACCCCAAATTTCTGCACTAGGACGAAGGCTGAGTGCAGGGAGCTTTTTTTTTTTTTTTTTTTTTTTTTTTTGCCACAGACTCATTTCCAGGAGGAGAGAAGGTATGCTAATGCTTAAGACCATCCACAGCGATCTAGTCCCCGAGCTTGGTTCTCAGCAAGCCTCCTGAGCAACTGCAGGATCCCAGGAAAGACAATAACCTTGCTGAGATTGATGAACTTGTATAAAACTGGAAGAAACAGCCCATTTCATAGCCTAGGGGTGGCAGCAGATCAAAGTACTTGTAAAAGTGCCCTCCAATCCTCCCAGAAGGGGAGACATTGCTAGAGAGGAGGGCTGAAGTCTCTACAGTCAGCTCCTACAAGTTAAGGTTCATGAAGACTTGTCTCGGCTCTCTCCTTTCTTCTGTAAAACCTCAAAAGACCCTCAGAGAAGACTTCGAACCTGCAGGGGCTACCATCCTGGCAAGGCCCGCCAAGGTAGGTGACCGTGGGAGAGCAAAAGTCAAGTGGCCCTAAGAAAGAAGCTGAGAGGAAGGAAAGAGCGTTCCATGTTGGAGATCACTGTGTAACCCTGTTCCAGAACCCCACACAGAACCACCTCCTACTCACCATGTTTCAGAGAAAACTTTGAAGCTGGCTTGTGGATGCTGGTCACCAGTCTTGGGAAATGGGGAGAAAAGGGAAAGATAAAGTTGGAGGAGGAGCAGGGCTTGGCTCTTAAGCAAGGCACAGACAGTAGGGGACCTGTTTGCATTCAAAAGACCAGATCTTTCCTCCAAAAGTTAAAAATAGAACTACCACATGATCCAGCAATCCCCCTGGGTATACTTCCAATGGAAATAAAATCCGTATGTTAAAGAGCTATCTGAACTCCCATGTTCTTGCAGCATTATTCACAATAGCCAAGATAAGAAATCAACTTGTGTCCATCAGCAGATGAATGGCTAAAGAAAATGTGGTGTACATACACAACGGAATACCATTCAGGCTTTTGAGAGAAGGAGATGCTGTCATTTGTGACTACACAGGTGAACCTGGAGGCCATTATGTTAAGGGAAACGAGCCGGGTACAGAAAGACAAATACTACATTATGACACTTTTATGAGGAATCTAAAAAGCCAAACTCACAGAAGCAAAGAATAGAATGGTGGTCACCAGGGGCAGGGGGTCGTGGGGGGAGGTTGGGAAGATGTTGGTCAAAGGGTATCAAATTTCAGTTAGACAGGAGGGAGTAAGTTCAAGAGATCTATTGTACAACATGGTGACTATAGCTAATAATGTATTAGATACATGCAAATTGCTAAAAGAGTAGATTTTAAGGTCTACTACAGATAAATAAATATATAAGGCAATACATATGTTAATTAGTTTGACTTAGCCAGTCCACAATGTGTACATGTTTCAAAATATCATGTTGTACACCATAAATATACAAAATTTTTGTCAATTAAAGAAATTATATATTTATTTATTTATTTATTTATTTATTTTAATGACCCAGCCTGGCCTCTCTTTGAGTCACAGGGTAAAGTCAAGCATAACTAAGGTTAGAAGACAAGCCAAGGGCTTGTAAATGGAGATAATCTTAGGCTTGGATTCTCCAAAAACACAAGGAAAGATAATCCAAGCTCTTAATCAATTAAATACTTTTAATCCCTAGGGGTAAGACTCAAAATCAAAGATTACAGGCCAAGGAGTAAGATCCGAAAGTCAGAAACAGTACCTGGAACCCACACTCAGGAATACCACTGCATGTGTATGGACACATATTGTGCGTTGACAGTCACTATTAGACACTTCAGAAAAGGACATCCCAAAAGCCCAAAGCAAGAGACCAAATACCACCCTTGGAAGCCAGCATCCAAATGAAAGGCCTCTCCAGGGTGGGGTGAACAGTACAGAACAGTTCTTTAGGAGTGAGACTAACCTGGCACAGACCGACCTGCTTACTTTGGCCATTGTGCACACTCTTTGGCTCATTGTGACACCATCTGGTAGGCAGATCATAAAACTACTGTGGGGTGGGCTGGAGGTGGAAGAGACAGCTTTCTGCACGCTCGGTACAAGAAATCTCACACAGCAGCTAGGTGTGGTCTGCACAAACTGGTTCTCAGAGGCCAAATCCTTACCTCCTTTGTCTATTCAAAAGAGTTAGGAAAAAGACTGCTTTCTCTGCTGATCTCAATAGCAAAGGGGTGAAAGCACTGCCTTGGCAAAGCCAAAATTGCAGTCACTTTCTGATTGTCCGTGTTAATGGAAAGAAGCAGGCAGCCAGCCAGATAATTGAAAACATGCAGATCTTTCCTGTTTAACTTTGAAATGAATTATATGATTGTTTTACAGAACAAGTTACAGGTTTTGCTTCCTCATTGAGGCCACTGTTAAAGTCAGTTGGTATTTTCCAAGCCCACAACTGGGCAATGTTACTGTGTGATTAATAACTGAGAGTCCGCTAATGGGCACTCGGCCCTATAGAGCATCACAGGTGAGCATGCTGGGGAAGTGATCATAAAGGTGACCCCTGTGAGTTCAGTCCTCTGGCCAGAATGCATGAGAATCAGACAGAGCATGGAGGCAGATGACTCCTGTTAGGAGGACTAGAGTCTACCTCTCTTTGGTCTTATTAAAAGTGGGACATCATTTTTAAATTTAAAATCACTAAGCACATCTAATCAAGACGTTCTCAAGTCTTCTTCTGTTAAAAATCCAGAGCCCATCATCCAAATGGATACTAATAAACAAATACCAGAAGGATAAACCAGAAACCAATAAAAATGATTACCAATAGGGGACTGGAGGGGAAGGAGGGAAACAGTAGGGGTAAAAGTACGACTTTTTTATAGTTTTGACTTTTGCACCATATAAATTCATTACTTCTTCAGAAAAGTATGATGGAAGCCCCAAATGTAAAGCAGTTGGCAGGGGGCCTGCTCTGGTGGAAGGTGGTAGAAAGGGAGTGAGGGGTGCCCAGCTACTCTGGTTCTTCCTCACTCTGGGGCCTTAGTGCCACTTCCTTAGCTCTCTGTACTTGGACACCAATGGCCTGGTTCAACTTTTTGTTTTATACATGGGGGTATGAAGATCCAGGAAACCTGGCTCACTCCCTGGGTCTCTATTTCCATGACTCATTCAGGAAGGGTTAGAAATACTCCCAAGAAGACACAGAACACTCAATCCTTTTGCAAGATTTATTTTTAATTAAAAAATAAAAGTTATCTTAACATATCTGCATTGCAGCTTCAGGGATGGCAACTTAACGAAGCAAGAAAAACAAGGTTTATCAGTTCTTGGGTCACATGACCATCTTGTAATAGGTACAAAGGCACACGTGTCTTCAAACAAACTCGATTCAGAATCATTTCTAATAACTCAGAACTCCCTCCCTCCAACTCTTTTCCCCCACCCACACCCCTCCCAAAACAACCAAAAACGTTAAAGTCTCTTTAAAAACTACAGAAATAAGTGCTGAGTCAGCAAGAAACCTGGGCATTCTGCCCACGCTCCTCTATGTCTCTCTGCTTTGATGACTGGCTGCCCCGAGGCTGGCAGGGAGGGAACAAGGGCACCCTCCATGACACTCCAGGATGGGGCTAGCAACATAGACCCAGACCCCAGCCCTATCCCATACGGGGCAGGCAGCCTCCAAGGTGCTATCTCCCTTACTCAAGGGCATCTGTGGCTAAAGCAGCCTTTCAGGAAGAGAAAGGCCTAAGACAAGCAAGTCTTCATTAAATGCTTGCGATGAAAAGGCCACTGGGAACTGTGGGAGGGAGGGAGACAGGCAGATGAATCTCTTCTCCCCCAGTTAGCCAGGCTGCTGGAAGCTTTTCACTCCCTATTCTCCCTGCCTTCTCTCTTTTCCCTTTTTCCCCCTCTCCCTCCTCCCTTGCAAAAATTTTACTTTAGCTTAATGGTGGGGGCTCCGAAGAGGGTACTGGCAACTCCTGGGGCTGGCCTGGTGGCTCTGCCATCTCTAAGAGGACATCGCATACTTTCGGTTCCCGTGTTTCACAGAGCTCTGCCTGCCCCAGGGAGGACTCCAGGTGCTCCTGGCTCTGGGTCTGGTTGTTCATCTTCTCTTCAGCTTCAATCTCTTCTGATGTGGGGATGGAGTTCTTCTTGGGACGACCTTTGGGTTTTGTGGGTGCTTCCTGTCCACCTTGAAGAACCTATGTGAGGAAAAAAAAGTTATTAAATCTGATAAATAACTTCTTCCCTCCGCTTTCCTGCTCCCCTGTATAAGCTCATAGCATCTAAACCATTTGTTTCCAGCAGCACAATCACAGGGTTTGGCCAAATGTATTCTCAACCCATCACCTCTGGTCTACAAAGACACCTTTGTTCTTTTAAATGCTCAATGCACTTTTGGTCAGTATCACATATTTTGGCATTTAATAAAATGATCATAAACATACAAAACTCAATTTCAACAATAGGGAAAGAAATGAAGGTTAAAATGTTAATGAGAAACTGTCAGGTTGGTAAGTTTAAAAGACAACAATATTTGTAGCAAGCAGGAAAATAAACTCACACTTGTCTGCAAGTGTGACTGGTACAAAGTTTCTAAGACAATCTGAGAACCAAAATCAAAAGCCTTAACATGTGCATACCTTTCTGACTTGGAACTCAGGCTAAATTCTAAGAAGCCGTTCAAGACTGAGACAAAGATTGATCTGCAAAAATACTCACCACAATAAGGGGTTATAACAGCAAAAGTTGGAGGTGGCAGAGGGGTGGGATAGCAAATATCCTAAAAGATGCAACCATGTAATTGAGTAGATAATTACAGTATATCCCAAAGAGAGAATACTTGACAACCATTACAATTATTATATAGGAGAATGTTTAATGACATGGGAAATACTGTTAATATATGTCTGTGAAAAACAGATTATTAGCATAATCCAGGTTGTCTAACTATGCACCACCTTGTTTACAGTGTCAGGATCAAGAACAATTTTTAGTCTTCTTAATGTTTTTTCTGTATTTTCTAAATTTTAAACAATGATCATATATAAGTATTTCTGTAACCAGAAAAACTATGTCATAAAACATATTGCCTTGGCCAGGTGCAGGGGCTCAGCCCTGTAATCCCAGCACTTTGGGAGGCCAAGGTGACAGGATTGCTTGAGCCCAGGAGTTGGAGACCAGGCTGTGTAACATAGCGAGACCTCATCTCTACAAAAAAAAAAAAAAAAAAAACAGAAAAGAAAAGAAAAGAAAGGAAAAATTAGCCGGTCATGGTGGCATAAGCCTGTAGTCCCAGCTACGCGGGAGGCTAAGGCAGAAGGATCACCTGAGCCCAGGAGGTTGAGTCAGTGGTGAGTCATGATAATGCCACTGCACTCCAGCCTGGGTGACAGAGTAAGACTTCAAGACAAAAACAAAACTTACAGGTTTGTATTGCCCAAAGAAGTAGTAGGGCATAGTAGAAAGGGTTCTAGCTTTCAAGGTAGGAAAACTAGGTTAAATTCCAAATCTGCCACTTAGCAGCCTAGGGAAAGTCCTTTAAAGATTGTGAGTCTCAATTTTCTAATCTTTAAAATGGGGATAATACCTTCTCTCACAGGGTGACGGTGAAGGTGACCAACAGATAATGTGTATGAAAGGACCAGAACTGTTCCTGAATGGTAGGTTTCCTCTGCCTAGAATATGCCTCCCACCCTCCTCGCCTGACTGACTTCTCCTGGAAGCCTTCCTTGATCCCTCTGGTCTAAGGTAAATGACCTCCGCTTTCCCCTGCATTCTCCCCATCAGAGTACTTTTGAGGAACAACTGTCCCTGATGCTTACTTGCCTGCCTCTCCCACTCAATCCCTGCATGTAGCTGGCATTTGACAACAGTTACCGAATGAATTAGCCTTTCTCAGTAACGCTTTCCATAGAGCTGCAGAAAGATATAAAGCAAGCAAAATAATTATACCTCAAATGGCCTTTGCCGACTTCAAAGGACTTGTACACTTATGACCCCAATTTGTGATCTATATAAAGTCCCATGAGATTGGCAGGGATAACTCTTAAAATATAACTTTACTCTAAAATGTAACAGACGCCTTCCTCAGTTGACTTGGTATAATCTTCAATTTTCTGGGCAGCTAGTGAGACGTGCTTTGGGAGGACCTGGTTTAGCACAGATAATCAGAGGTAGGAGATATTTTTGTTACCTATATAGCTAACTTAAGCTTATCTTTCCCATTTGCACATAAGCTCCTTGAAGGTCAATCTTGAAATAATCTCTCTCTCTCTCTCTCTCTCTCTCTCTCTCTCTTTCTCCCCTCCCCCCACCCCGAGTCAGGATGTCACTCTGTCACCCAGACTGGAGTGCAGTGGCACAATCATGGCTCACCGCAACCTCCAACTCCTGAGCTCAGGCAATCTTTCCATTTCAGCCTTTTTTTTTTTTTTTTTTTTTTGAGATGATGCCTCACTATATTGGCCAGGTTAGTCTCAAACTTCTGGGCTCAAGTGATCCTCCGACCTTGGCCTCCCAAAGTGCTGGGACTACAGGTGTGAGGCACTGTGCTTAGCCATAAATCCCACCTCTCTTCTTTTCTCCGTGCTCCAAGAATCTAACTTTCAACTAACTTTCTATGCAGTCACTAAACACTGATTATGTCAAGAACATCTGGACCTCCAGGTGACTAATTTTAACAATGAATGTAGTGACACATCAAACTATAAGTTCTTTTTTTAAACAGCTTTGATATATAATTCACATATTATATGATTCACATGTGATATGGTAATTCACATATTACAACATTTTAAGTATAGTCGCAGATTTGTACAACTATCACCAGAGTTGTATCATGCAGAGTTGTACAACTATCACCACAATGCAATTTTAGGACACTGTCATTACCCCAAAAAGAAACTGCATACCCATTAGCAGTCACTCCCATTTTCCCCCAGCTCCCACCCCCTCCACCCTGAGCCCTAGGCAACCATTAATCTGTCTTTTCTCTCTACAGATTTACCTATTCTGGACATTTCATGTAAACAGAATCATTTACTATGTGGACTTTTGTGACTGGCTTCTTTCATTTAGCACAATGTCCTTAAGGTTCATTCATGTTGTAGCATGTGTCGGTAAATAATATTCCATTTGATGGATATACTACATCTTGTTTACTCACTCATTAGCTGATGGACACTTTTGGCTATTGTGACTCACGCTGCTGTGAACATGGGTAGACAAATATCTGCTAGAGTTCCTGCTTTCACTGCTTTTGGGTATAGACCCAGAAATGGAATTACTGGGTCATATGGTAACTCTCTGTTTAACATTTTGAGAACTGTTTTCCAAAGCAGCTGCACTATTTTGCATTCCAACCAACAGTATGTGAGATTTCCAATTCTCCAAATTCTCACCAACACTTGCTGTCTTTCTGATGACAGCCATCCTAGTGGGAGCGAAGCAGCATCTCACTATGGTTTTGATTTGCATTTCCATGATGACTAGTGAAGTTAGCATCTTTTCATGTGCTTATAGCCAGTTGCATCTCTTCTTTGGAGAAACATCTATTCATATCCCTTGCCCATTTTAAAATTTGATTGTCTTTTTATGATGAAGAGTTCTTTAAATATTCTGAATACAGTTCCTTATCAGATATAACCTTAGCAAATATTTTCTCCCTTTCTGTGGATTGTCTTTTTTTTTTTTTTTTTTGAGTTGGAGTCTCACTCTGTCGCCCAGACTGGAGTGTAATGGCTGCTCCCGGCCACTGCAGCCTCGACCTGCTGGGCTCCAGCAATCCTTCCGCCTCAGCCTTCCAAGTAGCTGGAACTACAGGCGCGCGCTACCACGCCTGACTAAATTTTGATTTATGTAGAGATGAGGTCTCGCCAAGTTGCCCAGACGGGTCTCGAACCCGCAGGCTCAGGCAATCCACTCACCTTAGCCTCCCAAGGTGCGGGATTACAGGCTGAGCCACCGAGCCTGGCTGGATTGTCTTTTTTAATGATGTCCTTCACAGAACAAAAGTTTTAAATTTTTGTGAAGCCCAATTTTTCTTTCGTTGCTTGTGCTTTTGTTGTCATATCTAAGGTTTTGCCTAATCCAGGGTCATGAATATTTACTCCTATATTTTCTTATAAGAGATTTATAGTTTTAGCTCTTATATTTAGGTCTGAGGTTCATTTTGAGTTAATTTCTATGCATGGTGTGGAAAAACAATAAGTTCTTAATAATCACCTCCTTTTAGCTGAAAATCTGCCCAACCATAGTACTTTCCACCCGACCAGCTAGCACATGGATGTGAAGGGGACATTTAATGAGCTAGAGTTGCTGACAGAAACCACCTCTGGGGAGAAGACGTCCCTGTATTCCTTTTCACGTAAGTCATTATCTGATTTTGATTTCAGTCTGAGCGCAGGCTTTTGAAAGCACTTAATTGTGCCAAGATGGAATTTACATGTTGAAAGCAGCTCTACTCGGTATGAAAGAGGTTATACAAAAGTTGCCCCATGTAGTAATCAAGCTAGAAAAGGGCAGGTCTAAGGAAGCCACCTAATTGGCAAAAGAAAGTCCAGCCCAGCAATTAGAGACACCACCCACACAGCTTGGATAGACCCCACCTGGCTGTTTTCCTACAGCATGAAAAAAAAAAATCAAAACAATTAGACCATTTTCTAAATGGAATAAAACATTCCAGTGCAAGCAATAATTAGGAGATAACTACCCTCTCGGCTGCTTTCTGCACTCGACCTCTGGCCCCCTGCCTTCCAGCACACCTGAGACACGCAATTATCTCAAAACCACCATCCACCAGGAGCTGCCCATTCACATGCACCCTGTGGCCCTCCTCCCTGGAGCCCTCCTTCCCAATTATTCCTAAAGCCAAGTTAGTCCCCTTGGTCCAGAGAAGCCAGACCGCCCGCTGTACGAGAGGTCACATACCTCTCTGCTACTTGGAAGAATACCTAGCACACCATCATTTTTATTAGCCATGTCTGCCGAAAGCCCTCCTCCAAACTCTAAAATGAAGTATTCAGATGCTCTATTGCTGAGGATGTCAAGATTAGGCCTTCTGCTTCCTTCCTGAGGAGCTTGGGTGGGATACAGGGGTTGTCAGTACAGGGAGGAACCTTCTCCTGCTCTCACTTTTCAGACAGGAAACTGAGCTGACATAAAGAATCTGTCAGGGTCAAGAGCAAGGCAAGGGCATAGCTGGGATTGGGACACAAAACCCCTGACCATTCAGATCTAACACTCTTAGCAGTATGTTATTCAGCATAATGTGCAAGGGATACGTAAAATGTGCCACTGTTCTGTGTCTGGTAGTTATTTGTAGCTACCCAGCCTCCCAGCAGACTCCAGGACTGTTTCTATGAAGCTCAGAAACAAGTCTGGATTCTCCAGCATTAATCTCCTCCCAAAACACTGTTGCTCACATGAGCTGACTTTCTCGGCCTGAAGATGGGATGTTCCACAATACCACAAAGAGGGCCCCAAATGCTAAGACACTGATGGGAGATGGCTGGTGAGTGGGGGATGAGAAAGGACAAATACCCAGGACTTCTCAGAGTCTGAGAAACTTGGAGAATTCACTTTTGGTTGATCTATCCTGGCCTTACAAGTTCGAATCTTCTGAAGACATGGATTTTGTGGACAGGTAAATAATCATAATCATAATAATGGCAGCTAATACCTCTTCCTAAGCATTTTACAGAGATTAGATCAGTTAATACTACAGCCCTAGAAGGTACACGTTAGGCCTTTTACTGGTGAGGAAACAGGCACACAGAGGTTAAGTAACCTGCCCAAGATGATATAGATAGCAACTGGTTACAGTTTCACGGAGTTGTTGACCATCTGGGAAGTTTCAGTAAGAAAGATAATGATGGTGCATGGTGTGGGGTCCACCCACTTCTGTGACTTGGGGAGAAAGGTGGTATCCGTTTGGATCCTCTCATGGAACAGAATTGCATTTTAGAGCTGAAAAAGATCTCAAACTAATGAAGCCCTTTCAGCCTGTGGCAAAACACTGTGGGTCCTACTGGAACTAGAGTCAATAAACATGGAATAGAGGGTGCGTGTCCCATCTAATGTGCAAGATTAAATTTACCCAACCCGCTATAGGTTACTAGCGCTGACCGGTCAGAACTCGTTACAGATGCTATCTTGGTTCTGGCAAGGCTGCCCTTGGCAGCCTTGTGGGTAAGTCAGAGAATCAAGTGCTAATCTTTTTCCAGTTCCAATTAGGTTACTAGCCTTGAGACATCTTTATTACCCAATTATCTTTTTCTTTTCCTCCCCAGTACCTGAAGAGATAGTCTTGAAAGAGTTTTACCGGGAAAATATATGAAGCAATCAGAATCCCAACAATGCCTTGCTGTTCCCAGGGAGTCAGAATTCAGACCCACAACTGAACATGATCCCTCACATTTTAGCTCTCGTCATTTTTAGGTACTTAAGCGCCCCCAAAGACTCTGTCTCTTCCTTCTGCCTGCAATACCCTTTCTTCCCTCACTTGGCACATTTCTATTCAGCCACTAAACCCAATTTATATGGAATCTTCCATGAAGCACTCCCTTCTCTGCACTGATTTGGAACCCTGTAAATCCTCCTGTTGTTGCCCCATCACTCTGAATACTACTACTACTAATAATAATAAGTTTGCAGTATGTCTCCCCCACTTGACTGAGCACCTATGTAGCATTTTTTAAAAGTGAACTGGCTCATATCTTATCTTTGCATCTCATTGTCTGATTAAAGTAAGTGCTCAATAAATTACTGTGAAAGGGAACTAAAAGGTTGGCCCTCTTGTTTCCTAAAGGGACCTGAACTCGGTCGGCCTGCAGAATGTTCTCTGAGGTTAAATCTGCTGAGTTACTTACATTTTGGTTTATATGGCATTGATAACCATCACTCACTGGCCCGCAACCATGCCAGGAGCACAGTGGCTGGTGAAAAACAAGTGATGTCAGAAGCAAAGGCACACGCGTCGTCCCACGGGTACTGGGCGGTGCTGGCAGAGGAGGCTGGCTGTCAATTCCTTAATCATCTGACTCATGAAAAGATTGCTGATAACCAATTTAAACAATGCCTCTGCTACTCAGGAGACATTGATTTCGATGCCGATGATTGACGAGGAAGGAGGTGGGTGGTGGATCTCGCACAGAAAGCAATGAAGGGACTTGCCCAGAATCAGCCAGGGAGGGGCAGGCCTGGGAACATGGCCCAATGCTTCTCACTCCCAAATCTGCTTCTTTTAGAGACCAGTCCCCGAAAAGTTTCATGTGGGTCTTAGGGTTTTTGAAATGACTGTTTAACTGAATCCATTCATCCTTCTGTTTCAACTGCAACCTTCTCCACTACTCTGAATTCTGATAGGCTTATAAATCCATAATAAACAACCGGCACTTAATGGTAATATGCTCCCTAGTTGCTTCCTGGGTCTTGTTTGTCTGGCGAGATCATAGAAGAAGCCAGGGGTTATATTTTATTTCATTATTTCCTGTAGTACCTAGGACAAGGCATGGTTCACAAGAGACACCAATACACACTTGTTGATTCATACAATATACAGTATATGTGTTTGAACATGCAACTGACATCTCTGTCTCACTTTGTGAGCACTTCACAAGCCAAATCACTTCCATTTGGAAGCCCTTTCCTTTCAGGGTCAGGTCTCCCCAGAGAAAATTATGAGACTTCCCCAGGAATTACTCTTTAGGATATAATAATTGCTGCTTGATGACGTTTCCCCCTAATTTTCCTATTGGTATTCATTTGTAATTTATTTGTTTTGTTTTTTATTCTCATTGCTTGCAAACAATAGCAAGAAACAGCAAAAATTAAAGGTTTAAAAAATTACTGGACAAAACCACAAAATTGAGAAAATATCTATCTATTCACTTATTTTTTTTCCCTGAAAACTGGGGTAGGGGGATACCTTAGTTATTTGACTATTGTGAACAACATCATATTCTAGCCCTTGAAATACCAGGAAGTATGGCTTGTAGCCAGATGAGTTAGCAAGTTAGAATGTCATCAGGAAGGCATGGAACGCCTGATCCATTCAAGAGGAGAAAGAGCCAGTAAAATTCAATGAGGTTGTGACAGACCCATGTCAGATAATATGGTGGCACCTGATCTCTAGAGAACAGAGCAGGGCTTCTTCCCACATCACCACCCCTCCTTTTTTTTCTGGGCTCTGACCTTGTCTCTGTGGTTTACAAATCTGAGAAATGAAACACTCAACTACTTTGGAAAAATCAGACTTAACAGGGCTTTAAAAATTTTAACAAAAGGATAAATGATAATGAAACCGAGCTCCTCAAAATGTGAGGATATTTATTCTAATAATCACACTTAAAAATCAAAGATGGAAATATTAGCTAGGCACTAGAGCAGTATTACAGAGGGCCTAGAGTTCTGCATTTAACCTGTTACCCAGGTGACTCTGATGCCCACCAAAGTTTGAGGATCCCTGTGTTAGAGCATAAACAGCTAAAAGAACAGATGTGTCCTCTAAGTCATTATAAACAAAGAGTACTGACTTCTATTCTTGGCTTTTGGTGGGAGGGGGAAGGAAGTTCTTTGAAAAGGGTAGCAGGTGGGGTTAAAGCTAGCAACTAGGAAGCCTATAGGCTTTCTTTTGCTTTGATTTCTAAGGAAACTGTGAAAAAGAATATCCCTTTGGTTAGGAAATCCAGGTCAAGAGGAACAGCTCAGCCTGTGGTTCAAACAGCCCCCCTCTAGCCAGCACCACAGAAGACCTTCCCATCCCTGCAGCTCCAGCTGCCACATAGTCCTGCCTGCCTCCCAATAGCCCGAGAGTGAGAATTCTTTTCATCAGGATGGGCATGTGGTTAGACTCACTCCTTTCTTACCATTTTCTTCCATTTCATCCTGCGATTCTGATACCAAGTCTTCACCTGCAGCTGAGTGAGTCCCAGAGACTGTGCCAAATCCAACCTGGAAGGCACAAGATACAAAGGAAGGATCAGGAAGGTGAGGAGGAGCTGGAGAGATTCGGTCCTGATGACTGGCTCCAGCACTCACTACCGAAGCTCAGAAGAGACTTCCCCCATTAAACAAGTTCTTCCGCAAAGGGCTTGTCTTTCCTCCCAAGAATCCTAGGGAGGAAACTTTGGAAAATTAAGAAACACATGTCCCCCGATGCTCAAAGACACCTGGGCCAATCCCCATCCTGGAAACATTCACTGTCTGTCATGGGCCTGAAGGATGTCTGAGCCTTCATTACACAGTCATTTTCCTGATCTGACAGTCTTCACTCTGATCCTCTATGAAATGAAGACTCTGACTCAAAGCCCAAACTGGAAACAAAAAGTAAAGCCATATGTCCCTTATGGGAATCTCACTCATCACTGTAGATCCAGTTCCAGTCCCACCTCCTGCAGGTGAGCCTCCCAACTCCCACAGTTCATCTCCTCTGCACCCTCCCACAGGCCAGCATTCACCCAGATGGTCCCACATTCTCGACTGTCCTCTAGTCACTTCGAATGTGTTATTTCTGCCTCCCTATCTCAACAGCAAGAGTGACGTATGTCTTCCACTTCTTTTATATCCAGGAAAGTCCCTATCACATTGCTAAATCCAGAACCAGGGCTCAAAAATACTTTCTCATAGATTGATTCATTCGTTATAGCTGCTCAAAATTGGTACAACGATCGAAATGTTATAAATGATTAAATGTTGCAAAATTCCAAAAGAAACATTAAATCAATAGCCCCCCTCCTTCTTTCCATTCTATTGCTAACTATGGTTCTACATTTCTCTGTAGTCTTCTGAAAAGTCCTGAAAGTCAAAGCCATTCCTGGAGCTAATTTCAACAATGCAGCAACCATTTCCTGAGCACCACAGCATCTCAGGCTACTTGCTAAGCCCCTGACATGGGCTATCTTATCTACTCCTTTCACAACACTGTGACATAGGTATAATTATTTCCATTTTACAGATAAAAGATTCAAGAATTGGAGCATTAGAATTTCTTAGCAACTATGGCCAAATCTTGCCTGCTGTTTGGTTTTGTAAATAAAGTTTTATTGAAACACAGCCACATTCATCTGTTTACATATTGTCCACAGCTGCCTCTGTGCCACAACATTAGAGTTAAGTAGTTGTGACAGACCATATAGCCCACAAAACCTAAAATATTTATTCTCTGGTCCTATCCTGAAAACCTTTGCTGATCCCTAGTAGATAACTCTAGAGTAAGAGGTGGGGTCAGGATTTAAATCCACTTATATATGACCTGTATGCTACCTCCAGTATTGGGGTCATCCCCATCCACAATATATCTGACAAAAGGAAATGTAGGATGCTACATCCTAGGGAGTAGCAAATAACCCAAGTAGAGCCAATGGAATAAGAAAGGGAAGTCTGAGCTCAGTCCTCAAGACTATAACTGTTGACCTAAATGGATAAGAACCCTAGGTCTGCCTAAGCACCAACTGGAGGGCCACCTCTTAATGAAATACTAACTCCAACCCTGCTCAATGAAGCAGTGTGAACTTCTAACACCGCAACTTGGGATGGCCACCTTTGACAGAGCTTGGGCAGTTTTCCCCACTTTTTAAAGGTCCCCAGGTTTCTGATGATTGCCATTTGTGGATCTAAGGCCCACAATCTCACACAAGCCTATGCAGTCACAAGTTTGAGCCACAGAGCATCTCAGATGTGAGTTCTCATCTGTAGTTCTCTCCACTTGAAGAGAAGTAACCATTAGGAAGACCCGGTACCAGCTCTGAAGGCTCCAGGTGCTAACCCCTCCCACTCCCAGGTGCAGGTGCCCACTCCCGTGCTTTGACCAAAGTGCACAACTTAAATTCCTAACAATAAGCAGAGTCTTCCTTTGAGGGACTTCAGAACCTGCCTTAAATCTGCATTTGCATATATCTCATCATCCCTGAAGAAGGGCTACTGGAAGCTGGCAGTTTTAATGAAAGTGATTAACAGGTTAAAACATAAATTCCCAGCACCAACTGTACTTGGCTCCTTCCACTAACAAAGCACTGCTTCCCAAGCAGTCATTCATTGAGAACCAAGAACCCAGGGGGCTGCTGCACAGACTTCTGGCCTCCCAGGCCTCCCTGAAGACAAGGCCTCTGTGGGCTCTGCAGTGCCTTCCCAAGCCCAGTTCACCTGAGGCCATCAGGTGCGTTAGTCAGTGGAAGGTTCAGTTCACAGCTCTGCTACTGCATTAGCAAATGGTGTTAGCTCATTTGGGAAAAATGCAGCGCTGACTCACTCTGGCTACAGAAACATGCTTCACTGTCATCAGCTTTCTCTCATTACCTGCCACCGTTACAAATTCTCACTTCCCTGCATATTCGCTTAAATGGGGTCACCTAGGAAACTGGAGAAACAAACACAGAGGAGGAGGGTGTAAGCTGTGGGAGGAGGGAGTGCTCATGGCTCTGGTCACGTAGGGAGGCAAGGAACATCTGAGAGGGCGGGTTAGGCGGCAGCTTCAATGCCAGCCAGATGGTGTCCTCCGCAGGCAAGTGAATCAATCCTGTGTAGGTCACCTGAGAGATGCCTGGACTGGTATCAGGAAGCCCCAGGAGGTTTCTTAAGAACTAACATTCCTATAAAAAAATTCTCTAGCTTCTGAAAAATAAGGCTCAAATTGTATCCATGTGTGCTGAAGCCCTTTCGACACTCTACCCCACAACGCATAAGAAACGGTGCCCACTCCACCTAGTTGCCAAGTACATGAAGCTCCCAAGTATGTGACACAGGCATCAGAACAACACTTAAATGTCTGCAGATGCCATCTTTGAGTACCCAGTTCACAGACCTGTCTCCACCGCCTGTCTAAAAGCACCCCAAATGCACAGGTCCAAACCAGAACTCACTTTCTCCACCAGACCCATTCTGTCCTCTGCCTTCCAACTTCAGTTCATGGTAACCCTATTTACCTGAGGACCAGTCAGAAGCCACAGAATTCTCAACTCTCTTCTCTACCCACGCCCCCAGCCCAGTGTCAATTCTGCCAGTTCTATTTTCAAAATTGTTGTCCCATCTATTCTCACCTCTCCATTCCCACTGCCACCATGTTAATTCAGGGGTTTGGTAGGCTATCCCTGGATTCTCCCCTAACTGGTTTTCCTGTCCCATCTCTTGCCTCTCTAATTCACCATTTATGGGGTCACCATAGAGACAGTTCTAAAATCTAAGTCTGCTCATGTCACTTCCAGGACACGAGGTCCTTCCCACCTTTCAACTCATCTTCACCATGTCCCATTCACACCTGAAGAAGCCCCAGTCACTTGTAGTTCCCTCTACATGCCCAGTGAGACTGCTTCTGTGCCTTGCCAGTGCCATTGCCTCAATGTGGGATGCGCTGTTCCTCCTGGAATCAAAGCTCTTCTTAAATGTCACCTCCTCTGAGAAGCCCTCTATAACCTCCTCTGATGCAGTCAGTCATATCTTGTGTTCCTGCCAGTGCTCAGCACCATGCAGGCACCAGCACCCAGTTCACTGCGTCATAATTATTACAGTCATTCCTTCCTCATGATCTCCTCCCTCTACTACTTTCTGGACCTGTAATCCTGGCCACAGTGCCCAGCACCCAGAAGACACGCTGCAAACAGTTGATGGTACCTGGTTAATTGAATTAGGAGCCAAATTCCCTTTGAGTCAGTGATTTGCAGATTCCTCTCTCACTTAAATTTGGATCAAAGAGCTACTAAAGAGCTTAAGAGATTCATTTGAGTTTTCTTCCCCTTCTCTTTGATAGGATTGAGTCAACCCTGGTATGGACAAGGCAATAGGCAAAAGAAAAGAAAAAGGACCAGGAAATCTCCCCAGTAAATAGGATCATACATTAGCTCAGCCATCTCCAGAGTGAATTTGAAGGAACAAGATCAGGCATACACTCTTGCATATTTTGCAGGCAAGATAGCAAATTAAAGGAAGGTATTAAAACCTCAAAGGAAAGCAAGGGTCATGGCCTCCCTCACCTGGATCTCAAAGGGGCTTAAGGAAAGGGCTCTTATCCAGGTTCTCCTGGGCTTCAGTCAAGTGGTTCTGACTTGATATTCATAAAATTCATTAACACGTCTAACCTCCTCAACCGGATCAATCCAGCCCTTTCCAAGCAAGAACCAGGCCAGTAAACTGAATCATCTGGGAGTTAGGAGGCTAGGGAGAAGATCATGGATCCCAATTTCAGATCTAGATCGACTGCTAAGTGTGAGTGGCTTTAAAAATCAAGCCCGTTTCCCAGCTCCACCGGACCTCCGCTGCATCTGATCCTAAGTGTGAATGGCTTTAAAAACCAAGCCTGCTTCCCTGCTCAACTGGACCCTGTTGTACCGAAATGCTTAACATATGGAGACAGAGTAAAGAGTAAAGTTCAGTCACAGACAGGCGCTAGGGCTGTGTGACAGATTCACGTGGACTGGATTCTGTTAAGCCAAGGCTGAATAACTTGAGCCAAGGAGTAGATTCCTGCCACAGTGTTGCACCTCACTGAAACAGTCCTCTCTAGCTCCAGGGCCCACACTAAGGGCAAAAGGAGTCTTCCCTTCAGAAAGGCCCTAACTGCAGAGAGTCCCCTCCCCGTGTCCTTACCTGTCTGGGGTGGACAAGTACTTCTGCTTCTGGAATTTCTTCTCCAGGCCCATGAGCTGCAGCTCTGTGAAGATGGTGCGACTCCGGCGAGGTTTTTTCTGCCGGGGCGTGGGCTGCTCTGTCTCCGACTCACTGCTGGCTAGAGTCTCACCACCCGGGGCCTCAGCAGAAACAGCCTCAGTGACCGGGTGGCAGGACAAGGCCTGGGCAATTCCCGGGCTGGCAGGGACCAGGTGGGAGATGACCGTGGGCTGCCGGGTAATCACCGAGAGGAGAGGATAGGCCCGAAGGGAAGGGGAGCCTGCAAGATAAACAGGGGGCAGGTCAGCACAGGGAGTAGGGGGGGAAGGAGGACAGGAGCCCACAGAGGCCTCGTTTCTGAGACCTGTCTGGCTAGCAGGTCCTCCTGCTCATAAGGAGGTACAAATGGAGTAAGGAAAGGGAAAAGCAACTTGAGACCTTCAACTGCAGGACGACAAGGCAACATGGAGATTTGCTCAACTTGGTGTGTGAGGATGTTCAAGCCCCCACAGCTAAGAAGAGTTTCCTGTAAGTCCTCTGGCTTTCAGTGAATCTTCCCCTCTCTCCCTTCTGAATCCCTAAATTCTTGGTCAACGAGGCCAAGAAGATGAAAAGAAGTAGTCAGAAAAAGCTAGAAACACATATTTGAGAAATCTAAAATAGATTTGTAATATGCAAACTTCCTGAGAACCACCTGTGGTCTTTATAAAAAGACACGTTTAGTAACTATGAATTCCTCCTAAGAAATCTATGTACCTTGCATCATAGCATTTTTCAGAGCTGGCAGGATGCTTCAGAATTATTTAATTCAACTCCCTTCTTTCAGAGATGCATGAATAGTTAGTGGAAAGGTTAAGTGGATTGCCTAAGATCACATAGCTAGGGAAAAGCAAATTCATGAGTCAAACCAAGTTCTGGCTTGAAGTCCAGTGCTTTTATCACCACATCATGAATCACATTCATATCTCCTTTATAAAAGGGGGACAGATAGGTTTTGATTCCAATGGAAACTCAGATTGGTTATGACAGGCACCTACAGCACTGTGTTAAGGAGGATTCTCAGGCTGGGTCGGAGTGTGGTTGAGGAGAGAACGCTGAGGCTGATTAACAATGTCTGCTGGCTGGATGCCTGTAATCCTAGCACTTTGGGAGGCCACAGGCAGGAAGATCTCTTGAGCCCAGGAGTTTGAGACCAGCTTGGGCAACATAGCAAGACTCTATCTCTATTTATCAAACAAACAAACAAAAACAATGCCTGTCATGGCATAGGGGAAGCTGGGTATAGTGACATATATGTCAGTCATATCCCCTCTTGCTCTATGAATTTCAAAGGTACTTTTCTGTCCAACAACCTGTTAAATGTTTTAAGTTCAAGTAAAGAGCTTTTTCCTTTCATTATTCAGTAGCATCGTTACCTATGTAAATCTTTTTATCTCTCAGTGAGTAAGAGTAGCTGAATTAAACCTAAGAGTAGTTCTGAGTTAAACCTAACATCACAGAAGCACCCAGATACCACTTGTGGTCTCTTTCTCTGGGTTGGTATTTCCCTTCTTACTCCTTCCCATGCCTCTGTTTTGGACCATAGTCATAGTTATTAAAACAAATAATTTCTCTTGTTCTTTGAGTATACTTTCAGTAAGACCTAACAGAAACCACAAAGTTATTAAATAATGATAAATCACCAAGTGCTACAACTCCACTGACTCTACAGCCAATTCTAACACTTGAAGTTTTGTGCTATGGATTCTTTTTGGGGAAAAAAAATCACCTGGAAATGAAATTTTATAACAAGAAAATTAGGGTACCTGAACTTGTGGTTTGGATCGCCCAACACACATCATGAAATAATACTTCTTGAAAAAGAATCTGAAAGTTTCTTAAACAGGCATGAGATATTTCTCATCTCAAGTCACTTTACTCCTTTAATTCTGCCTTTTCTTTCAAAAGAGACTATCTTTCTTTAGCAGGCTAATTCATAATCTAGAAACCCAGGATCTTACCAGTATAGGAAATGACTAATTACCCACATGTAAGTAAGGCTTTTTATCATCTTTTTCTTTTGTAAGAGAGTTAAATATTTTTTGGCCTAATACTGAATACTATTTTGAAAGGGTGGCAATGTCTAATGTTGGTAAGGATATGGGGAGAAAGGCACTCATATCGTGTTGGATAGAGTGTAAAACAATATAATCTCTTAAAAGGCTAAACTAAGCAGCTAAGCAGTATCCACCACGTTACTGACAGACAATGCCACAATTTGAGGCCTATGTGTACAAAGATTTATGTACAAGCATATCCACTGCAGACATGTTTATAACAGTGAATGAGGGAAATAACCCACATAACTCTGAGTAGGAAAATGATTAAATAAATTGTGGCACATCTATAGTATGAACTACAATGTAACCTTTAAAAAGAACTGTCTATATAAACCGATATAGACAGATAGATGAATAAACTATATTGAACCTGATCTGAGAATATATATAAAATATATTATTAAGAAAGAAAAGTATGCTATAAAATAGTTTGCATTATCATAAAAATCTGTGTGTTGTCTGCACTTATAAATGCATTTTTTTTTAAAGTCCAGAAAACTAGTTACCAAACTAGTACAGTGATAAATTCTGGGAAAGCAGCGGGAGTGAAACAGAGTGGAAAGGATCTATATGTACTCCTCTAATCCCATATTCAATCCTTCCATAAATATCATGGAGCATCAACCATGGACTACACTATGCTCTGGAACCTGCAGATAAAGCAATGAGTACTATAAAGTCCCACCCTCATGAAGTTTGCATTTCAGCAGGGAAAGCAGAGAGCAAACAAATAGATATGTTATGTAATACCAGGGAGTGAAAAATTCTACAAAGAAAAATATAAAGCAGAGTGAAGATGAGGCGGGAAGGCAGGAAGGCAGGTATCTGAGACTCGGAGTCGACGGAGGCAGCTATGGGGAGGTGACCTCTCGGCAGCTAAATGCCCTCATGTGAAGTCAGCCTTGAGAAGGCCCAGGATGAGAACCTGGTGAGAGAGGGAGAGGGAGAGAGATATTCCAGGTGATGATGCCTGGGTTTTTACTAAGATGAGTAAGATTGGGCAAAGAGTATGACTGGGCGAGAAAACCAAGATTGTCATGCTAGATGTCAAGTTGCTGTTAGACATCTTGCACGTGTGAGGAAGCAGTTGGATAAACCAGTCTGGAGATTAGGGAATATATGGGGTTGGAGACACAACTTTGACTCATGGGAGTATATGTGGCATTTCAGGCCATGGTATTGCATGAGATCACCAAGACAGTGAGTGGAATAAAAAAAACAATGAAATCCAAGGATTGAGCCCTGGGGAACGTCAACATCTGAGGTCATTAAAGAGAAAGAAGAACCACCCAAAGAGACTGGGGAGAAAACATAGAATCAGTAGAAAAACCAGTATCTCATAGTATCCCAATACCTAGATGATATTTCTGAATTATTTGCATTTTGCAGATACATGTATTATTTTTGCAGTGTTTTAAAAAAGGAAAGTTAGATCAAATAAGCCTTAAGTTTCATTCTCATTCTGAAGATGTTCAATTTGTCAACAAAGAATGGTCATTTATTGACCCTTGAACCTATGAATACTTAAGACATCTTCTAAAAAGCTGGGCAAAGAAAACGAAACTAGAAATCCCAGAAATTAAGTATAAAATATGTTTAGCTTTATGATACTTCTAAAAAAACAAACATCGTGGGTGTTCTCTTGGGCAAAGAGACTTGCTTTGCCCACTTAGGATCAAAGAGTCTAAGAAATTTTCTCCTTGTATGTTAGAAGATGTTTGAGTTCTCATACTAGGTAAAATCATATTCATTCTTTTAAGATAAATTGTGCTTAGTGTGGAGAAATAATAGTCTTCAACACAATTGGTGCTGGAACAGTCAAACATTCATATGCAAAAAAGGAACCTTGACCTGTGCCTCATAAAGTATTTTTATTTTTTAATATTTTTTAAAATTTTAGATTCAGGGGGTATACATGTGTATTCGTTACATGGACATATTGTCGATAGTGGTGGGGATTGGGTCTTAGGTGGCCCATTCCCCAGACAGTGAACATTGTGCCCCTATAGGTAGTTTCTGAGCCCTAATCTTCCTCTCTCCTTATCGGTGTCCCCAGTGTTCATTATTTCCATCTTTGTGACTATTTAGCTCCCAAATATGAGTGAGAACATGCGGTGTTTGGTTTTCTGTTTCTGCATGAGTTCACTTAGGATGAAAATCTCCAGGACATGATTTCATTCTTTTTAATAGCTGCATAGTATTCCATGCTATATACATACATTTTCATTATCCCCTGATCAGTTTTGGGGCATTTAGGTGGATTCCACATCTTTGCAATTGTGAACTGTGCTGAGATGAACATGCCAATGCAGTTGTCTTTTTTATATAATGACCTCTGTTCCTTAGGGGAGATGCCTAGCAGTGGGACTGCCGGAACCAAGGGTAGATCTACTTTTAGTTCTTTGAGTAATCTCCACACCACTTTCCACAGAGGCTGTACTAATTTACCCTCCCAGTATATAAGCTTTCCCTTATCTCTATATCCACACTACCATCTATTGTTTTTCTTTTATTTTTTAATAATGGCCATTCTGACTGGTGTAAGGTGTTATCTCATTGTGGCTTTAATTTGCATTTCCTTGTTTATGTGTGATGTTGGGCACTGTTTCATGTGTGTTTTGGCCATTTGTATATCTTCTTTTGAGAAATGTCTGTTCATGTCATTTGGCCACTTTGTAATGGGGTTACTTGCTTTTTTCTTGCTGATTTGAGTTCTTTGTAGATTCTGGATATTTGTCCTTTGTCAAATGTATAGCTTGTGAATACCTTCTCCCATTCTACAGGTTGCCTATTTACTCTGTTGATTATCTCTTTTGCTATGCAGATGCGTTTTAGTTTAATCAAGTCCCACTTATTTATATTTGTTTTAGCTGCATTTGCTTTTGGAGTTTTAGCCATAAAATTATTTATGTAGGCCAATGTCCATAACAGCTTTTTCTAGGTTTTCTTCTAGGATTTTTATGTCTTCAGGTCTGACATTTAAGTCTTTAATCCACCTTGAGTTAGTTTTTATATATGGGAAGAGATAGGGATCAAGTTTCATTTTTCTGCTTGTAGCTATCCAATTTTCTCAGCACCATTTGTTGTATAGGGCAGACTCTCACCAGTGTGTGTTTTCATCTGCTTTGTCAAAGACCTGTTGTTTGTAGGTATTACTTCTGGATTCTCACATTGGTCCATG